AGTCTCAATCCCACCATAGTCTCAACCCCACTCGAGTCTCAACCCCACCCTAGTCTCAACCCCACCCTAGTCTCAACCCCACCCTAGTCTCAACCCCACTCTAGTCTCAATCCCACCCTAGTCTCAACCCCACCCTAGTCTCAACCCCACTCTAGTCTCAATCCCACCCTAGTCTCAACCCCACTCTAGTCTCAATCCCACCCTAGTCTCAATCCCACCCTAGTCTCAATCCCACCCTAGTCTCAATCCCACCCTAGTCTCAATCCCACCCTAGTCTCAATCCCACCCTAGTCTCAATCCCACTCTAGTCTCAATCCCACCCTAGTCTCAACCCCACCCTAGTCTCAATCCCACCCTAGTCTCAATCCCACCCTAGTCTCAACCCCACTCTAGTCTCAATCCCACCCTAGTCTCAACCCCACCCTAGTCTCAACCCCACTCGAGTCTCAATCCCACCCTAGTCTCAATCCCACCCTAGTCTCAATCCCACCCTAGTCTCAATCCCACCCTAGTCTCAATCCCACTCTAGTCTCAATCCCACCCTAGTCTCAACCCCACCCTAGTCTCAATCCCACCCTAGTCTCAATCCCACCCTAGTCTCAACCCCACTCTAGTCTCAATCCCACCCTAGTCTCAATCCCACCCTAGTCTCAATCCCACCCTAGTCTCAACCCCACTCTAGTCTCAATCCCACCCTAGTCTCAACCACACCCTAGTCTCAATCCCACCCTAGTCTCAATCCCACCCTAGTCTCAACCCCACCCTAGTCTCAACCCCACTCTAGTCTCAACCCCACTCGAGTCTCAATCCCACCCTAGTCTCAATCCCACCCTAGTCTCAACCCCACTCGAGTCTCAATCCCACCCTAGTCTCAACCCCACTCTAGTCTCAATCCCACCCTAGTCTCAACCCCACCCTAGTCTCAATCCCACCCTAGTCTCAATTCCACCCTAGTCTCAACCCCACTCTAGTCTCAATCCCACCCTAGTCTCAATCCCACCCTAGTCTCAATCCCACCCTAGTCTCAACCCCACCCTAGCCTCAATCCCACCCTAGTCTCAATCCCACTATAGTCTCAATCCCACCCTAGTCTCAATCCCACCATAGTCTCAATCCCACCCTAGTCTCAACCCCACCCTAGTCTCAACCCCACCCTAGTCTCAACCCCACCCTAGTCTCAACCCCACCCTAGTCTCAACCCCACCCTAGTCTCAATCCCACCCTAGTCTCAACCCCACCCTAGTCTCAACCCCACCCTAGTCTCAATGCCACTCTAGTCTGAGTCTCAATTCCACCCTAGTCTCAATCCCACCCTAGTCTCAATCCCACCCTAGTCTTAATCCCACCCTAGTCTAAATCCCACCCTAGTCTCAATCCCACCCTTGTCTCAATCCCACCCTAGTCTCAATCCCACTCTAGTCTCAATCCCACCCTAATCTCAACCCCACCCTAGTCTCAATGCCACTCTAGTCTGAGTCTCAATCCCACCCTAGTCTCAATCCCATTAGTCTCAATCCCACCCTAATCTCAATCCCACCCTAGTCTCAATCCCACTCTCGTCTCAATCCCACCCTAGTCTCAATCCCACCCTAGTCGCAACCCCACCCTAGTCTCAATCCCACCCTAGTCTCAATCCCACCCTAGTCTCAATCCCACCCTAGTCTCAATACCACTCTAGTCTGAGTCTCAATCCCAAATCAATCATAAGCGCGACCCTACTCCCATGTGAGTCGGCGTCTAAGCCTCTCGAGCGTGGTACGTGTCGCGTGTTATTGAGTGATGATTATGACGATGGCGATGATTGTATCGATATCGCGATGCTGCCCGCTCACGTCACTCGAAGAGCCCAAGCTTTGTCAGATCCCGGAAGCTTGAGCCTGGGTAGTGCTTTGGTGGGCGGCCACCATGCATAACAGGTGTTATAGGCCTCGGAGCTGCACGGTGGGCAACAGTGGACGGTGGAGCCAAAATACACACTTTGTAATGTCCTCACCACCAACCCGCAGTGACCAGCGTGGAGAAGGGGCAAAATTAACCCCCCAGCGACTGCCCGCATGGCATTGGGGATCGAGGCTCCACATCCAGCAGCGGATCTGCTGAAAGGGGGGCTGCACGTGTCCGCGTACTGTACACGCGCGGCGTTGACCGTGCCTTGTTCGTCAGCACACAGTGCACCGCATTGTTACTTGCTTCATTATTTATTTGAGAGCTCGCAGCTTGAGATGTCTGTCTCCACGATGCTGTGGGACAAGCGGGTGGCATTTGCGTGACAGCTGCGGTGTTGGGGGTGAGACATGGGCACGGAGGGGGGGGGCACGGGGGGGGGGGGGCGTGGGGTGTGGTGTGGGAGCCCACAAGGCCCTCTTGCGAGACGGAACCCTGGTTCTCCCTTGTGGTCCCCTTTCCCAGGTTCCCCTTTCTCTCCTCGGGTCAGGCCCCGGGGATCCGTTTGTTCATTGTTGGGCGTCTTATTCCGAGATCTGCTTTGTAACCCGCGCAGTGTTTCGTCCGCTGTCGACGGCGGTGGCGACGGCGGCGGAGATGTGGCGCAATTCGGAGGCGCAGGAGGCCCCACGGAGCATTGGGGAAGGCAGCCGGAACCGACGCCAACAAATTTCCCAAACTCTGCGTTCCCATATTGGAATCGTTGGTCAACTCTGTTCCGCACGCGTGGGCGGTAACCGGAGTGCGGACGGGAGAGGAGGGGGCAGCACTTTCGTCTCCGTGCAGATCGACTGCGGATGGAAATCGACCCGCTCGCCGTACCGCCCGTCGTACCCCCAGCAAGGCAGGGGACGATGGCGACCTCCAAAGCCGCCGCGGGTTGGAGGGCCACTCAACGGCCGGCAGTTGTTGTTGTTGTTCTCCCGGGCCAGTGTCGCCAACTCGGCGACTGTGTCGCTGGACCTCGAGACCTGCTGGGACGAGGGGGGGGTACCGATACGTGTCCGAGAGCAATCCCAGGCGCGTATTAAGAATCCTGCGTCGGTTTACCCACATTTCATGATCGGCAAATTGTCTTGTTGAAGAATGTTTGGCGTGGTTTAAAGTTCTACGCGGCAATGTACAGCGACCGGCGCTTCGTGCTGGTGGGACTTTGGGCTCGAAGGAGTTGGCCACGCGATGTTTTACACGCCCCACAAGGTACTCACTTGAGGCCGAGTCGACCTTGGGGAGGCGCAGGACCGGTTCAGATAATCGTCACCGGTGTTGGCCGTGAGCAGGAATCGAACTCGGATCTCCGGGTTCGTAGCGCTAACCGCTACACCACCACCACCACCCCCACTTTGCCACCCCCCCACCTCCTCTCCCCCGCCCCCCAAACTCCTCGCCCCGACACCCCCAACCACCCTCGCGTCTCTCCACAAATGTCATGGCTGTGTGCGGCACGCGGGAATGCGCGGCGGTGGCGGCGGCGTCGCGCGGCTATTTATACCGACACCATCACGCCGCCGAGATTTACACTTGCGCACAGCGGGGGGCAGGGAGAGGGGGCGGCTGTGGACGGGGGGGGGGGCTTCAGTGTGGTATGTAGGGGGGTGTGGGGATGCCACATACACCACGGCGTTGTATCGTGGGGGTTCGTAACGGCCATGGCGGGGACACTGACCCTGCGCTGCTGGGACGCAGCGTTTGAAAGTAGGGGTTCTGCCCCCCCCCCCCATAGTTTCGCGCGTGCCTCTCTCTCGCGCCGAGTAAGATGTTGTACGTTTAACACGTAGGAGGCTTTCGCGACCAATATCATCCATAATAAAGGGGTTTTTTTTGGGTTAGATCGCGTAAAAATATAATTGTGTCATTAAAACCAGCCACCACCTGACACAGCAAACTAGTAAGGGTTGTCACGTAAACAGAACGTGCCAATTCGAGAGCTTGGCTCTCCAACACACCGGTGTGCTGTTCTAGTGACGAATTAGCACGTTCTGTTTACGTGACAAACCTTACTAGTTGGCAGTGTCGGGTGGTGGCGGGTATTTAATGACACATTTATATATTTACGCGATCTAACCCAAAAAAACCTCTATTGTGGAAGCTATCGTACGTTGTGTATGTTGATCTCATTCTGCACCGTAGGTCGCCAGCCGTGCTCATCGGCGGTGCGAGATGCCAGTGTCCGACGGACACCCGAGACTTGCACGAAGCGACAGCAGCTTGGAGATGCCATTGAGACTTGTGACCTCTTGACCCCTCCGTGTCTCTCTTACGTCCCCAGTGTTCCCGCCACACAACGTGTCCTCTGTGTCCCACGTGTCCTGTCCGCCCGGGACGTCCCGTTTGTCCCGTCTGGCCTGCCTGGCCCTTACGTGCACCCCTCCGCTCCCAATGCGTCTTGTCAGTTCCATCTCGTCACTCTCTCCCGTCCCAACCGTCCTGCCTATCGCCGCCGATCATTGCCTTCTGCCTCATCCAATTTAAGTGTTGTTTCTATTATTGATTTGCGTAAATATTCTTTCCACTCCAAAATGTTCTGTCTGTGCGTGGGTGCATGCATTCACGCATGCGTGCGTCTGTTTGTTCGTCCGTCTGTCCATCTAATTGTGTCTCCCCATCCATCTACATTCTACAGTATCTGTCTACCTGTTCATCAATCATCTGTCTATCCTTTATTTCATCTGTCTTGTGTGCCTGCAGCTATCTATCATCTGCCTACCCATCCATTTTACCATCCATCCATCTCTCTGTCCATCTGTCCATCGGTCTGTCCATGTGATTTCGTGCCTATCTCTTCGCCATTCCATCTGTTTGTAAGTCCATCTATTCATTCCGTGCATATAAATGTCCGTCCATCAGTCTGTCTGAATGTGCGCCCGTCCATCCATATATCAATCCGTTCATCTGTTTATCCATCCCTTTATCAATTAATCTATCTGTTCATCTGTCCATCCATCTGTCCGTTCATCTGTTTATCCATCCACCTCTGCATTCGTCTGTCCACGCACCTGTCCATCCAACCGTCCGTCTTAGAATCCGATGGTCGGTGTTGCCCGCGTGACGTGCAGGCGTGGAAGAAGCGGTGGTTCGTGCTGCGCAGCGGGCGACTGAGCGGCGACCCGGACGTGCTCGAGTACTACAAGAGCGAGGGCTCGCGCAAGCCGCTGCGCATCATCGACCTCAACCTGTGCGAGCAGGTGGACGCCGGCCTCAGCTTTGACCGCAAGGAGTTCCTGCACTCCTTCATCTTCGACGTGCGCACGCTCGACAGGACCTTCTACCTGGTGGCTGACAGCGAGGAGGAGATGAACAGATGGGTGCAGTGCATCTGCAGCGTCTGTGGCTTCAACCCGCACGATGACGGTGAGAGAGAGAGAGCGCGCTCCGCGTGCCGCCCTTCCGTCCACCGCTCCGTGGGGATGGTGGCGGCGACGGCGGTCGCGGTGGCGGTGCTGGTGGTGGTGGTGGTGCTGGTGGTGGTGGTGGCGGCGTTTGTGGTGGTGACGGTGGTGCTGGTCGTGTTTCTACCCTCCTCCTCTCGTGTGGTGTGCCGGCCTTCATACGTGCTACTCACTAACAGCCCTTGTCCCCAACGAGTCTGTTAAAGGCTACACGGGAGATCCTTGCAGTTGCTGTTGGCTGTGGTGTCATGGTGGCAGCGATGTGGGGAGCGGGTAGTGTAGCAGTTAGCGCGTTGTGCTATGAACCCCGAGTTCGATTCCCGCTCACCGCCAACGCCATTGACGATTATCTGAATTAGACCTGGGCCTCCTCTCAGTCGACTCAGCCTCAATTGAGTACATCGCCACTGGGTAGGCAAAGGCGGCCGGGCGTGGTGCTGGTCAACCCACCCCCTCGTGTGACGTACCAGCCTTCATAGGCGCTCGCTAACAACTCTTGCCTCAACAGTCTGTTAAGGCTATACGGGGGATCTTTGTTTTTTGGTAGTCATGGTGTTGGCGCGGTAGTGTTGGTGACAGTGATGGTGAGTATCGGGCATTATTCACGATCTTTAGCAGCCCAGCATTGCAATTCAGCTATTTGAATAGAATACAAATCCTGATTGAACCACAGGACGTAACAAATCCACATTATTCTCTGTGCATTGTTTTCTCTCGGGGGGGGGGGGGGGCGGGGGGGGGGATTGCGTGGTGGGGAGGAGATTTGGGAATTGCCAAAGTGCGCCACCTAGCGGCGATCGCGCGGCTCCGCTGTCGTTTGTAGCTTCTCATATTGGCTGCTGCTGCTTGTTTGTTGTTATCTGGTATTGTTGTTGGTGGTGTTTGGTAGCGGCGTTGTTCGTGGTGCCGGTGTTTTTCACGGTGGTGGTGCCGCTTGTCGCAGCATCTGCGGCGACGGTGTTGGTTCTGGTCGTGGTGGTGCCAGGGCTCTTGATGGTTGTTGGTGGTTGGTGGTGGCGGTGTTGGTGGTGCCCTGCCCCATGCCCCGCTCGTGAGCACCGTCCGCGGTGTTCGTGGGCACCGCCCGCGGTGTCCGTGGGCACCGCCCGCGGTGTCCGTGGGCACCGCCCGCGGTGTCCGTGGGCACCGCCCGCGGTGTTCGTGGGCACCGCCCGCGGTGTCCGTGGGCACCGTCCGCGGTGTCCGTGGGCACCGCCCGCGGCGTCCGTGGGCACTGCGGGCGGTATTCGTGGGCACCGCGGGCGTGGCGGCGACTCCATGCGGGGTCGCCCGGGTTCACGGGGCACACGCGGGCACAAGCGGTTACGCACTCTCCCTCTCTTTCCACTCTCTCTCATGCTCTCTCACCCCCCCCCCCCACCTCAGCTCTCTCTACTCTCCACTATCTCTCTCCCTGTCGACTCTCCCTCTGCGAGTGTTGTTTATTTCTTATTTTTTGCGCTCCACCACTTCTGTTTTTCTCTGCCTCTCGCGAGGCTCGCACGGGACGTCCTCTGCCCCTCGCGCCACCGCGAGGCGGTGGTGGGGTGAGCCGACAGGGGCGCCTCTGCCAGGAAACCTTCCGCAACGCGATTCAACGCTCCTCCTCCCCCTCCTCCTCCTCCTCGCCCTCCTCGCCACCTCCGTGGTCACTCTGCTGCATCAACACTTCACGCTCCCACCGAAAGACAATAACCCCCCACCCCCCGGTATAGCCGTAACAGGCTGTTGGGGCAAGTGCAGTTAGCGAGCATCTATGAAGGCCGGCACGGCACACGTGGCGGTGGGTGGCCAACACCACGCCCGGTCGCATTTGTCTCCCTCGTGGCGATGTTTACTGCACACCGCACCAGGTACTCATTTGAGGCTGAGTTGACTTAGGGAAGGCCCGGGACCGGTCCAGATAATCGTCACTGGTGTACTGGCCGTGAGCGGGAATCAAACTCGGGTCTCCCGGGTTTGTGATGCAATGCGCAAACTGCTGCACTCCCGCTCCCACCACCACCACCACTCCCGCAGCCACCTCTACCACTCTATCCTTCATCCTTCCACCCACCCCATCTCTGATCATTCTAAATACCTCTCCAGGCCCCTAAGCACCATCACCACTCTCATCCACACCACTCTCACCCACACCACTCTCACCCACACCACTCTCACCCACACCACTTTCACCCGCACCACTCTCACCCACACCACTCTCACCCACACCACTCTCATCCACACCACTCTCACCCACACCACTCTCACCCACGCCACTCTCACCCACACCACTCTCACCCACACCACTCTCACCCACACCACCGACACCACTCTCACCCACACCACTCTCACCCACACCACGCTCATCCACACCACTCTCACCCACACCACTCTCACCCACACCACTCTCATCCACACCACTCTCACCCATACCACTCTCATCCACACCACTCTCACCCACACCACTCTCACCCACACCACTCTCACCCACACCACTCTCACCCACACCACTCTCACCCACACCACTCTCACTCACACCACTCTCACCCACACCACTCTCACCTATACCACTCTCACCTACACCACTCTCACCCACACCACTCTCACCCAAACCACTCTCACCTGTACCACTCTCACCTACACCACTCTCACCCACACCACTCTCACCCACACCACTCTCACCCACACCACTCTCACCCACACCACTCTCACCCACACCACTCTCACCCACACCACTCTCACCCACACCACTCTCACCCACACCCCTCTCATCCACACCACTCTCACCCACGCCCTTTCAAATCCCCACCCATTCAATCCCCCCTCCCACTCCGGCACCCTCCATGCATCACACCTCCACGCATCACACCTCCACGCATCACACCTCCAAGCATCACACCTCCACGCATCACACCTCCAAGCATCACACCTCCACGCATCACACCTCCACGCATCACACCTCCACGCATCACACCTCCACGCATCACACCTCCACGCATCACACCTCCACGCATCACACCTCCACGCATCACACCTCCACGCATCACACCTCCACGCGTCACACCTCCACGCATCACACCTCCACGCGTCACACCTCCACGCGTCACACCTCCACGCGTCACACCTCCAAGCGTCACAGCTCCACGCGTCACACCTCCACGCGTCACACCTCTACGCGTCACACCTCCACGCATCACACCTCTACGCGTCACACCCCCACACGTCACACCTCCACCAGTCACACCTCCAAGTCTCACACCTCCACGCGTCACACCTCTACGCGTCACACCTCCACGCATCACACCTCCAAGCGTCACACCTCCACGCATCACACCTCCACCAGTCACACCTCCAAGTCTCACACTTCCACGTGTCACACCTCCACGCGTCACACCTCCAAGCGTCACACCTCCACGCGTCACACCTCCAAGCGTCACACCTCCACGCATCACACCTCCAAGCGTCACACCTCCACGCGTCACACCTCCAAGCGTCACACCTCCACGCATCACACCTCCACGCATCACACCTCCAAGCGTCACACCTCCACGCATCACACCTCCGAGCATCACACCTCCAAGCATCACACCTCCATGCGTCACACCTCCACGCGTCACACCTCCACGTGTCACACCTCCACGCGTCACACCTTCCCCCAACTCTGCTTTAGCCCAACACCCTTCCATCGAACCCCGCCATATCTTCAGCCCAACCAACCAGTCCAACACCCCCCCCCGCCCTCCTCCACCATCCGACTCCCCACACATCGATGACCCCCTCTCTCTACTCCTCTATGCATCACCCCTACGTCCAGTTACAATTCTTCAGCACCCCGTCCCCCTAAAAACCACCCCCTCCCTCACCCTACCAGCCCCCCTCTCTCTGATCACCCCCTCCCCCCCACCCACCGTCTGTCTCCAAACACATCACAACTCTCCTGTGCCACCGCCCCCCCCCCCCCCTCTGCAGTTCCGTGGGGGGGGGGGGGGGGACCCTTCCTAGAACGGGTACCGGGAGTGTTTCTGTAAACGCCGTGACGCCGCTTTCCTGGAAGCGGCGGCCGTTGGGAGCCCCTTGCAGTTCCCCTCCTGTCCGGCAGCCAGATATCGAATCGCGGTCACGGTCGCTCTCCCCACCCACCCACCACTCCCACCCACCACTCCCATCCACCCACCCATCACCTTGCTCGGTTGAATAAAGACGGTGAATCTCAATCTCATTTGAATAAAGATGGAGAATTAAAATCGTACGCACGGCCCTCCGCTCGGTTAAAGACAGCGAATCCCAATCGTGACTCCTCCGTTAGGTTAAATGAAGACAGCGAATCTCAGTCGCAGGCCCTCCGCCGGGTTAATTAAAACCCAACGTTTACTGGCGGTGTGAGGATTCCGGTGGTTTGAGGTGAGCCTTTTTTAAGTTCCCGCTGCCAGCAGCTGAATCGATGTTGTGGAAGAATCGACAGTGTGTCACTTTGTCGTGGGTACTGTCATGGGTTCACGTGACCCCTGCAGCCACTCGAGGCCGCTGCACGCTCCGCAATGTTCGAACAATGCATTCCCGGTTTCTTTTTATATTCGTGACCCTGAATCGGAATAAAATTGGGAACGAGAGAAAACATTTTTACGTGTATGTATATATACCAGCTTTGATCATATATTCAGGATCTGCACACAGTTCACGTGATTTGTCATCCATGCAACAGCTTGTGCTCTCCTTGGCAGCTTTATCGCTGGTCGTGGCTCACTGATGAGCTCTTGTGGAGTGAATCCCTGAGGGTGCGGTAATTGGCCCAAATTATCGTCCAGCAGGACCCTCTTGAAAAATCATCTCACGCCTCAGCGAGCCTTTGCTGGGCCAAGAACCAAACAAATCTCCTTTGTTCCAATTTGTTTAATGAACGCTTTATAACCAAGGTATGTATGTGCGTGTATGTTGAACTTCTTTTGCACCGTACCTAGCCAGCCGTGGTGCTAACTGGAGGTGTGGGGGAAGGACAAGCAAAGCTTTCATGCATTAGATCTGTCCGTAATAGGGCGTGGGGGGGGAACAATACATTTTAGAAAGATGATCCAATTTGTACGTAAATCTGGTATCAAGTTCTGTTGCTTTGAGAGACTTAATATAGAGAAAACCGGCCAAATTGATCAAACGGTTTCCGTAAAATATTGGAAAAAAAAAACAAGCAGTGCTAAAAGGAACCGGCCTTGGTGTCCCAGCCCTGCTGGCCAGGGTGAGCCGCTAGCCGAGCACCGGGGTCTCACCGCGGCCTACGGACGTTTGGTGGGGAAAAGCGTGGGTACACCTCCCCACCTCTTTCAAACGACCACTGGCCAACGTGACGAAAGTAGGCCAAGATACCCTCCAGAGCTCCCTCTCGGTGGAGGCCGTTCTGCCAGCAGTGGCAAGAGCAGGCAATTGCAGGCCTGCACCTTTGCCTTTTGCCCCCCCCCCCCCATTTAATTGCCCGAGGTGTGCACAGTCTCACGTGGGTATTTACTGAAGGTGGACCGGGATCAAAACGATGACACACGGAGGGGACGAGCGCGGGCCTGAGGCGCATTTGAAACTCCGAACGTTACGATGAAACGCGACGTACTCGCGCGGAAAAACAAAAAACGCGGTCGGTCAGTTGCACGTTCCCCGACACGGGGGCCGCGAATCGTGCAAATGCGAGCAGTTGTCTGGTGTCCGTGTTTTAGAATAGGCACCACGGAATACGTAGCACAGAAGAGATTCCACAGAATAGATAAGATAGCAAAGTCGATCGGAAACCTCTTACAGACACGTCTGGTCGACGCCGAAGAGCCGGCCGAGAATGCCCTCCGGAGTTCGAACTCCAATGGGGTTACTGGAGGGGGCGAGAAGCCGTGTTAGGGAGCGATTTCAGGGCCGCACCTTTACATTTTACTCATTCTCAACGAGCGCTCACCCGCTGAGACAAGGGACGTCACCTTGAATCGGATTTTTTTTGCGTGTCCGGCCCCCTCCCCTCGGCAGACCAAGTCAAGAGCAACAGCGCGGCCGTCGGTAGCGGCCCGCTACGTCGCACGTCCGCCACGGGGGGGGCGGCCGTCTCCCAGCAGCCCCTGCTGTCGGAGGGCGGCGCGGTGACGTCGCCGCCGCCGCCGTACGCGCTGCCCACCGCGGGCGGCGGGCACGGCGAGTCGGAAGCACCGAGGCAGGACGGCACGAGCGGGGACGGCCAGGAGTACTTCCTGCTGGCCGAGTGCGTGACCCCCTCGTCGTCGGCCGAAGGAAGGTGGGGTGCCCGCGAAACTGCTATGCACTCGCGCATACAAACACACGTGTAGTGTGCAAAACACACCCACTTGTATACACACACACACACACCCCCCCGCAAAAACACGTGCCACCACACGTGTATATTCAAAAACATACAAACATGTACATATGTACAGTGAGGGAAAACAGTTTTTGATTTTGTCCCACTCCTCTTTGCAGATCTTCTCCAAGTCATTAAGGTTTCGAGGCTGACGTTTGGCAACTCGAACCTTCAGCTCCCTCCACAGATTTTCTATGGGATTAAGGTCTGGAGACTGGCTAGGCCACTCCAGGACCTTAATGTGCTTCTTCTTGAGCCACTCCTTTGTTGCCTTGGCCGTGTGTTTTGGGTCATTGTCATGCTGGAATACCCATCCACGACCCATTTTCAATGCCCTGGCTGAGGGAAGGAGGTTCTCACCTAAGATTTGACGGTACATGGCCCCGTCCATCGTCCCTTTGATGCGGAGAAGTTGTCCTGTCCCCTTAGCAGAAAAACACCCCCAAAGCATAATGTTTCCACCTCCATGTTTGACGGCGGGGATGGTGTTCTTGGGGTCATAGGCAGCATTCCTCCTCCTCCAAACATGGCGAGTTGAGTTGATGCCAAAGAGCTCCATTTTGGTCTCATCTGACCACAACACTTTCACCCATTTGTCCTCTGAATCATTCAGATGTTCATTGGCAAACTTCAGACGGGCATGTATATGTCCTTTCTTGCTGCAGGATTTCAGTCCTTCACGGCGTAGTGTGTTACCAATTGTTTTCTTGGTGACTATGGTCCCAGCTGCCTTGAGATCATTGACAAGATCCTCCCGTGTAGTTCTGGGCTGATTCCTCATCGTTCTCATGATCATTGCAACTCCACGAGGTGAGATCTTGCATGGAGCCCCAGGCCAAGGGATATTGACAGTTCTTTTGTGTTTCTTCCATTTGCGAATAATCGCACCAACCTTTTCACCAAGCGGCTTGGCAATGGTCTTGTAGGCCATTCCAGCCTTGTGTAGGTCTACAATTTTGTCCCTGACATCCTTGGAGAGCTCTTTGATCTTGGCCATGGTGGAGAGTTTGGAATCTGATTGATTGATTGCTTCTGTGGACAGGTGCCTTTTATACAGGTAACAAGCTGAGATTAGGAGCACTCCCTTTACGAGTGTGCTCCTAATCTCAGCTCGTTACCTGTATAAAAGACACCTGGGAGCCAGAAATCTTTCTGATTGAGAGGGGGTCAAATACTTATTTCCCTCATTAAAATGCAAATCAATTTATAACATTTTTGACATGCGTTTTTCTGGATTTTTTGTTATTCTGTCTCTCACTATTCAAATAAACCTACCATTAAAATTATAGACTGATTATTTCTTTGTCAATGGGCAAACGTACAAAATCAGCAGGGGATCAAATACTTTTTTCCCTCACTCTATATACACACACACATACAAGCACACATGTGTATGCAAAAACACATACCCCTACGCATGCAAACACACGTGTACACAAATACACACACCTACAAACGGATACATACACACACACACACGTAAATGCACACACACATACGCGTGTATTCTCACATCGCAGGGGCACATTACGAAGCATCGCCCCGGCCCCTCCACAACCGACCGCCATTCTCAGCTGTCCCTGTGTGGCACTCGGTGACTTAGCTCCCGGCTTGCAAATGGAGACGAGTCGGCCAGTAGGGAGCGATGATTGCCACGTGGCATTGCAACTTGAGTGAGCCGCGGATTTGGGGCATTACGGTGCGGCGTGTCGCAATGCACACGTCACAATTCGATTTTTTGTTTGTTGTGGACGGATCGGCGACGCGCCGATGCTTGGTAGACGTTGTCCACCCCCGGACATTGCCCCCCCAACGTTGGCATTGGTACCCAGTCGTAAAGAGACCCGGGGAGGGGTGATACCACACCGCACGTACAAAACCCGCGCGCGCTTCTGTTCATCCGCGATTGTTTTGCACTTTGTCATTGTTGCTGTTTTATGATTTTTTGACAACCATTTGTTAATTTTGTTTTTTGTGTTTCCCCCATCTGCCCCTTATACGTTCACCCCACTGTTTTTTCAATATTTTTCTCACATACCAATGCATTATCTGTTCATTTATGCATGCATTAATTCGTAAATAATTAATAATTTTGCACGCATAATTCATACGCTCAATGTTGTGCAATATGCACGTGCGCATACAAACACATCCACGTGTTAAACACACGCACACACAACCCTGCAAAAACACATACAACCACACGTGTACACACGTGTACACACACACACACACGCGTGCCTCTACCCCCATGGCCGTCGCCTGCGCCCGTGCTCCCAGCTCCACACGCTCCACCGCACCGGCACCCCGGGCGGATGAGTACTTCTTGCTGGGGGACTGCGGTGTCAACTGCACGCCCGCCGAGTGAGTGCATGCGTGCGTGTGGCTGTGTGTGTGTGGCTGTGTGTGTGTGGCTGTGTGCGTGTGTGTGGCTGTGTGTGTGTGTGGCTGTGTGTGTGGCTGTGTGTGTGTGTGGCTGTGTGTGTGTGTGTGGCTGTGTGTGGCCTGGCACAAGCGTCGTGGTGACGTCATCACCACTTAGTGGCGAATGGCAGTTGTTGTTGTGGCTGTGTGTGTGGCTGTGTGTGTGGCTGTGTGTGTGTGGCTGTGTGTGTGTGTGGCTGTGTGTGTGTGTGGCTGTTGTTCTTCGTGCTTTTGGAGTCCCTGACCCCCTGCTCACGATCATTAAGGACCTTCATGATGGTGAGCGGGCCCGGGTAAAACTACGTGGCCGGGAGTCAGAGCCATTCCCTGTACACCTTGGGGTGCGACAGGGATGTCCTCTGGCTCCGAAATTATTTAACATCTATTTTGACCACGCAGTTCGTGAAGCCTTCAATAGCTGTACCGGGGGAATCTCCATTTGGTACAGATATAATGGGAAGCTGATCGATGCCCAGGTGTGGTCAAGGGATGGCTCCCTATTGCTCAACCACGTTATGTATGCCGATGATTTGGTAATAGCTGCTCATTCAGAGGAGGAGTTGGAGACGCTGCTACTGAGACTGGAGCGTGCCACTAAGAGATGGGGCCTTACCATCAGCCCCACCAAAACTAAGCACCTGCCTGGGTATTTTGTACCATCGGACACTCCACCCCCACAATTCCCATTCAGTGATGGGGCAGTTGTGGATAGAGTGGAGAGTTTCCCATACCTGGACAGTGTGCTTATGACCGGCTCCTGTTTAACAGCAGAGGTCTCACTCCGAATCAGTCGAGCGGCAATATCTTTTCATCGATTGCGTAACGCTGTGTGGAAGCTACCTGGTCTGTCGCTCCGCACTAAGCTTCAGGTCTTCTCGGCCACGGTCATTCCCTCCCTTCTCTACGCTTGCGAAACGTGGACCCCCTTAATGGAACATCTTCGCCGGTTAGAAACATTTAGACTAGCCTGCCTACGATCCATCCTGGGTTTAACCAGGCTGGATTGTGTGAGGAGCTCACAAATCTTTGAAAGATCTGGGCAAGGTCCCATCGGTGAGCTCCTCCGGCAGGCAAGGCTGCGTTGGCTGGGTCATGTAGCCCGCATGCCCAGCCACCACATGCTGAAACAGCTTTTGTTCGGCCGGATCGAGGGGGCTAAACGGGCGCGGCACGGGCTAGAGAAGAGATGGAGTGATGTGGTACAGGAGGATGTGGAGTTGAGTGGACTTGCCGATGACTGGTACCAGCGGTGTCAAGATCAGCCTCTGTGGAGGAGGCTCGTGAAGGACGCTACTGGGCAGTTGGAGGCAGTCGCCCTCCAACAACAACGGAGGGCGGAGGAGCGATGCTCACAACAACGAGCGGAGCGCCGGGTGGCTAAAGCTCAGCAGGTTGGCACAGTAGGGGGCACAGGTGGTGCATCAGCCAGTCATCTCAAGTCAGTCGACCCGTGGCACCTGGGTCTGCCCCGTGACCTCCTGCCAGCGGGCGTTCGACACTTCACGTGGCCTCAAGGTGCACATGGCCTGGCACAAGCGTCGTGGTGATGTCACCACCACTTAGTGGTGAATGGCGGTTGTTGTTGTGTGGCTGTGTGTGTGTGTGGCTGTATGTGTGGCTGTGTGTGTGTGCGTGTGACTGTGTGTGTGGCTGTGTATGTGTGTGGCTGTGTGTGTGTGTGGCTGTGTGTGTGCATGTGTGTGTGGCTGTGTGTGTGACTGTGTGTGTGTGTGCATTCGTGTGCTCCTGTGTGTATGTATTTACGTGTGCATGCGCGTACGCATGTACACGTATTCGTGCGCTCAAGCGTGTACACACGTGCTCGTGTCCCCGCAGCCCGAGTCCCGTGTGCGACACCGACCTCAACCACAACGCGCCGCCCCCCGTGACCTCCAAAGGGGTCATGAACGGGGTCGTGCCCCCGGCGTACGACCTGGCCCCTGGCCCGCCCTGCCCCCCGCTCCCTCCGCCCCCCTCCGCCACGGCAGATCAGCTGGAGGTGGACGGGGACCTCTCGGGAGGCATCTACAGCTACCCCCGCAGGTGGGCGCCGCACAGTGCCCCTTGCCGCACCGCACCGCCGTGTGTGCCGCACCGCAGTCGCATGCTAACCACTACACTTCCGCTCCCCATAACACAAAGACACACTATCACACTGACACTGTCCCCAGCAGTGACACGCTCACGCAAGCCACACCATCGCCATCACTGGCACGCTGACGCCGTCTCTCCCCCCCCCCCCCCCACTGCGCCCCCCCCCCCCCCCACGCTCAGCTACTCCATGAGCAGCGAGCAGCCCACCTACGACACCCCCCCGTCGGCCCCCACCTCGTCCTCGCTCTACCAGGTCCCCTGCGTCTTCCGCTTCGACGGCGGGCAGACCACTCCGGCCGCCTCCGCGGGCGGCGCCTCCCCCACCTCGCTGTCGGGGGGCCCCGCGCTGCCGCCCGACGCGGGGACGCCCCCGCCGCGGCCCCCCAAACCGAGCGCCGGCACGCCGGCCGGAGAGAGGGACGCCGAGGCGGCCAACGGTGGCGGCGGCGCCGGCGTGTACAGCTACCCGCGCTCGCAGTCGGAGAGCGACGGAGGCCTCTACCTGGTTCCGCCGCCCACCGTGGCGCGGAGGAGCAACACCATCTCCAGCCTGGACGGAGCTAAGGCGGCGCGCGGTAAGAACCGGGCCTCGGCCGTTTGCGGCGAGGTGCGGCCACGCCATCGCCGCTCTGTGGCCTGGACCGCTGTCGGCGCTGGGCCGTAGCCGTCGCCGCGAGCGGCGGGGGGTTGCCCGTCGCACCCAACTGCGGAGGTGCGAAGCGTCGCCGCGAGACGCGGTTGCCCAACTTTTGCCTGGGCTTGCATTGTCGCCGAATGTCGCCGGTAAACCGGGGTAGGCACCTGACTGTCTAAGCCACAGCGAGAGGGTTTACTAAATGTGGCGTGGCCCGGGCGCGGAAATATTTTCCGGATCGCCGACCCGGACGGATTAAGCCCTGCCAGTTACCGTCCACGCACAGCCACAGCCATCTCCACGAGGTGCGGTCACCGGTCAGTCACCAGTCAGTCACCGGCTGCAGGCTCGCGCGGAGGAGGAGTCGCACCGGGCTGTGCGAGAGGTCCGAACGGTTTCTGTGTCTCATTGCGGCGATAGCACAGTCGACCCATCGTCACCAACATCATCAATTCAAGTCATCATCATCGTTATCGCCATCGTCATGGTCGTGAGCGCTGCTCTCTCCATACCCCCCGCTGCGTAGACTCATACCGGCTGGACAGCTACGACTACCCCCGCACGACGGTGAGCGACGTGGGTCACTCGCTCGAGTCCGTGGGCGACGGGTACAGCTCGTACATGGTGAGACTTGCTTACCCGCACTCGCCCACTCACCCGCTCGCTCGGTCACTCGCTCACCCACTCACCCGCTCGCTCACCCACTCGCTAAGCCCCTCGCTAAGCCACTCGCTCAGCCACTCACAAACTAATTCAGAGTTTTTTGGTTTGCTCACTCACTCATTAACTCACCCACTCACTCGTTCACTCAGTCACTTATACAGCAGCTCACTCGCTCGCTCACCCACCGAGTCACCCAGGCACCCGTGCATTCAGTCGCTCGCACCTTCCCATGGTCGTACACTCATGCACCCTTCCACCGTGTGCGCTCCTCTCCCCCCTCCCTCCTCCCCTCCCCCCTCCTCCCCTCACCCCCCCAGCGCAAGAAGAGCTTGCAGGGCGGCTCCGAGTCCGACCTGGAGCAGAACTACGTGGCGATGGTGCCGAGCCCGGGTCACGAGATCGACTCGCCCGTGACCTCCGACACCAACTACATCCCCATGAGCCCCGCCCACGTCGAGGGCCTCTCCCCGCCGACCTCCCAGGGGGGGCCGCCCCTCACCGCAGCTGCCGCCGCTGCCGCCCCGGCCCCGGGCTCCGGCCCGTCCGCGGTGCCGCCCCCCCCCGCCGCGCCCAGGAGGGGCTCCAACGGTGGCCCCCCGAGGCGCTCGGTGGTGCCCGCCGAGGTGCAGCTTCCGCCCCCCGTCAACCGCGACCTCAAACCCGACCGCAAGGGGGGCGATCGCAAAGGTGAAGGGGGTGGTGGCTCTGCACGCTCGCTCACACGCTCAGTCGCTCACTCACTCACACGCTCACTCGCTCACTCGCTCACACGCTCAGTCGCTCACACGCTCAGTCGCTCACACGCTCACACGCTCACTCGCTCACTCGCTCACTCGCTCACACGCTCACACGCTCACACGCTCACTCGCTCACTCGCTCACACGCTCACTCGCTCACTCGCTCACTCGCTCACTCGCTCACACGCTCACTCGCTCACTCGCTCACACGCTCACTCGCTCACACGCTCACACGCTCAGTCGCTCACTCGCTCACACGCTCACTCGCTCACACGCTCACTCGCTCACACGCTCACACGCTCACACGCTCACACGCTCACTCGCTCACTCGCTCACTCGCTCACACGCTCACTCGCTCACACGCTCACACGCTCACTCGCTCACACGCTCACTCGCTCACACGCTCACTCGCTCACACGCTCACACGCTCAGTCGCTCACTCGCTCACACGCTCACTCGCTCACTCGCTCACACGCTCACTCGCTCACACGCTCACTCGCTCACACGCTCACTCGCTCACACGCTCACTCGCTCACTCGCTCACACGCTCACTCGCTCACTCGCTCACTCGCTCACACGCTCACACGCTCACTCGCTCACACTCTCACACGCTCACACGCTCACTCGCTCACACGCTCACACGCTCACTCGCTCACTCGCTCACACGCTCAGTCGCTCACACGCTCACTCGCTCACTCGCTCACACGCTCACTCGCTCACACGCTCACACGCTCACTCGCTCACTCGCTCACACGCTCACTCGCTCACTCGCTCACACGCTCACATCCTCACTCGCTCACACGCTCACACGCTCACTCGCTCACTCGCTCACACGCTCACACGCTCACTCGCTCACTCGCTCACACGCTCACACGCTCACACGCTCACACGCTCACTCGCTCACACGCTCACTCGCTCACACGCTCGCAGAATAGACAAAGGTCACCACGTGTGTATAGCCTAAAGAGACCGTTGGGGCAAGCAAGTAGTGACACTGATGAAGGCCGGCACGTCACACAGTGGGGGTGGGTGGCCAGCACCACGCCCGACCGCCTTTGTCTCCCCAGTGGCGATGTTTACATACCGCACCAGGTATTCATTTGAGGCCGAGTCGACCTAGGGGAGGCCCAGGACCGGTTCAAATAATCGTCACTGGTTTTGGCCTTGATCGGGAATTGAACTCGGTCGCTGGGTTCGTAATGCAGTGTGCTAACCGCAACACTAATGATCGGGCAAACGCATACAAACACTTTCGTACGCACGACTTTATACACTTTATACACGTACACGCCGGATGCATGTGTACACACATACACACACACACATACACACACACATACAAAGACAAAGACAAAGATCCCCCGTATAGCCTTAACAGACTGTAGGGGCAAGTGCTGTTAGCGAGCACCTATGAAGGCCGGAACGGTACACGAGGGGGTGGGTGGCCAGCACCACGCCCGACCGCCTTTGTCTCCCTAGTGGCAATGTTTACACACCGCACCAGGTACTCATTCGAGGCTGAGTCGACCTAGGGGAGGCCCGGAACCGGTTCAGATAATCGTCACTGGTGTTGGCCGTGAGCGGGAATCGAACCCGGGTCGCCAGGTTCATAGCGCAGCGCGCTAACCGCTACACTATCGCTCCCCACTACACACACATACACACATACACACACACACATACACACACACATACACACACGCATACACACACACACTTACACACACGCATACACACACACATACACACACACATACAACAACAACAACCGCCATTCGCCACTAAGTGGCGGTGACGTCACCACGACGCTTGTGCCAGGCTATGTGCACCCTGAGGCCACGTGAAGTGTCGAACGCCCGCTGGCAGGAGGTCACGGGGCAGACCCAGGTGCCACGGGTCGACTGACTGAGATGACTGGCTGATGCACCACCTGTGCCCCCTACTGTGCCAACCTGCTGTGCTTTAACTGAAATATGTAACACACATACACACACATACACACGCATACATACACACACACATACACACACACATACACACACAGATACACACACAGATACACACACGCATACACACACATACACATACACACACATACACGCACATATACACACACATACACACACACATACACACACACATACACACACACATACACACACATACACACACATACACACACACATATACACACACATACACACACACATACACACACATACATACACACATACACACACATACACACACACATACACACACACGCATACACACACGCATACACACACGCATACACACACGCATACACACACGCATACACACACGCACACACACACATACACAACACACATACACACACACACATACACACACATACATACACACACACATACACACACACATACACACACATACACACACGCATACACACACACATACACACACACATACACACACACATACACACACACATACACACACACATACACACACATACACACACACATATACACACACATACACACACACATACACACACACATACACACACATACATACACACACACACACATACACACACATACACACACACACATACACACACACACATACACACACACACATACACACACATACACACACATGCGCAAACATGCAAACCCTCGCGAAGGCAGCGGAGCGTAGGGGAGAAGATGCACGATGCCGTTATAAACAAGGAAGACAAACCATGCATAGGCATGGGATTATTTACCGCTTATCCTCGCGGTTATTTTCTTCCACTATCGCGATGATAGCGTCACGGTTCCCAGCCCCACCACGAGATGACGTCCAACGTGCCACCATCGCGATGCTGCTTGCTGTTTAATCACTGCGCACATGGTGTTACGTTTGCTTTAGAATTTCGGCGCTCAACCTCCGTTGGCCGCTTCGGTGGCTGCTTCTGTAACCGCGCAAAAGGGCGTTCGGTCAAGTGACGCGATTGCCTTGAGACACGATTGTTTTTCTCTCACGAAGTGGAAAGTACGTAGAAAAAAATAGCTACAAATAAAAAAACCATCACTTGACCGGCCGGTCGGCCTTGAGTCAAGGAAAAAAAAAATATATATATTTTTTTTTTATTTAGTCAGCTTAAAAGTCAAATTATTGCGTTCCTCTCCACAACGGAGAGGCGCGCACAAAAAACAATTCCTGTTTTAACTATTTCCACAAAACCCGCTTGCACTTTTTTTTGACCGAACAAAACAGGAAGGTTTCGGAATTGGAGAACTCAAACGTGCGCCCAAAACAGAAGTGAGGCGAACGTTACACAAGCGCGCGGGGGCCCCCTTGGCGGTTCAGAGGGGGAGACGTCGCGCTTCTGTGAGGCCGAGACGTGACACCAGCCTCTCGGTGCGCGACGTCATGAATCTCGTCTGCAAGATCCGACCGTGTCCGTGCGGTGCTCGCCGAGCTACGTTGGCTTCCGGTTGCTGAACGGATATCGGTGCGAGGTCGCGCTCGTGACCGCACACAAATGGCGTGGCGCAATAGAGCCACGGTGCCTTGCTGGTCTCGTCAAGGGTCGCTCATCCCCCGCAGCGGCTTTTGGCAGTCACCGCACCGCGCGCTTTCAGACGCGCTTTTGCGGCCGTCTGGAACGCTCTTCCTTCCGATATTAGGAAGCCACTGGAGCTACGGCGCTTTAAAATTAAGATTGAAAACTCATTTCTTTAGAACTGCTTCTTGTGTTCAGTTTGTTGTCGCCCGCCTCCCCCCCCCCACCGCCCGCGCATCTCCGATTAGCACGGTTGGCTACGTAGTTCAAAGTACGTATATAGCTACTTGTCTCACGGTCTCATCCCCGACCGTGCCGTCGGCGTCGTGCCAAGCGACGGAGTGCCCTTTCGGAAGCTCACGCAGAGGGAACGGGCCGCGACGCGTATTCGTGTTGCTAGCCGGGCAACGGTGCTGGCTACGGCAACGCCGCGCTGCGTGTGGCTGCCGGTAATCTGTCAGCTCGGAGGCAGCAGTGAGGGTCGGCGGATCGCCGTGCTCACACGCTGAGAAAACTTCCTTGCCATGTCAGTGTCGTGGAGGCACCGTACCCTGATTCGCCAGGAGAAGGCGGCGGCAGGAGTGCAGACGCCTCCTGTTACACCTGTACGGGATAGAGTGTTTCCCCCTCGCACGCGTGGGTTTTCCCCAAGGTTGCTCCAAGTTCTCTCCCACGTGCAGACACTCATTAATTGGCCGATGACGCCTCAGCATGCAGGGGATCGCAGAGGACCTTGAAGCTGGTGAGCCTCATGCTCCAAATGAGATTTCTGTTACTGCCTTGGCGCTAACAAAACATGGTGTCGCCCGTTCTTCCCCTCTCTCTGCCCCCCCCCCCCGTCTCCCTCACCCCCCAGGAGCCAAGCCGCCCCCCCTCGTCATTAAACCGGTCGACGACATCGATGGACTCATGCAGGCGCCGGTGCGATCGCCGCTCACCAAGACCTACGGGTGAGTGGAGCTCACCGGGTGAGCACAGCAGCGCGCCTTCCGCGTCGCTATACGCGCGCGTTACGCGTAGCCTTGACAGACTGTTGGGGCAAGTGCTGTGAGCTAGCGCCTATCAAGGCCGGCTCGGCACACGGCGGGGTGGGTGGTCAGCACCACGCCCTGCCGCCTTTGTCTTCCCTGGTGGCGATGTTTACACACCGCGCCAGGTACTCGCCTGAGGCCGAGCCACACCCACGCACGCATGCAAGGATGCAAGGATGCCAGAGATGTTTGCAATGTGCGCACACACTTGCGTATCGTGTCTGGAACGAACATCGTGGTGAGCGGTGCTGTGGCTGGGAAACGTGCGGTGACAAGAGAGCTTCGTGGTGAGTGTTGTGGCTAAGGGGTGCGCGGCGAGCGGGGACTGTTTGCAGCATTGGGAGCGAGTGTCGCGGCGAGTGTTATGGCGAGTGTTATGGCGAGTGTTATGGCGAGTGTTATGGCGCACGAGAGAATGTCGTGGCCGGAGAGAGAGAGAGCGGTGGAGAGTTATGCGGCTCGGAGCGGCGCACCCTGCCCATCCCGTACTGACCGCGGATTCCGTGTCGATCTAGACCGCAGAAAGGCCCCTCGTTCCGCTACAGCCGCAGGCCGGACTCGGTGCACAGCACGGCCTCCAGCTCAGGCTCCGAGGAGGCCGACCCCCCCTACATCCCCATGGTAACGGCTCCAGTAGCCACCCCCTAGCTACTCCTCCCCTCTCTCCAGGACGTCGTTCACAGCCTCCTCACCTGCTCGACTCCTCCTAATGTTCACTTTGTGAGTTTCCTTTCTCAGTTTCCTTTCCCTGCGATTTCCGCTGGATTCTACCGCTGCTGCTGCCGCCGTTGCTGCCACTGCTGCTGAGGAGTCTCGTTCTGTCGGTCTAGTTTCCCCGTCTCTCTCTCTTTCTCGCGTCTGACCGACGCTGTTATTTTTTTCTCTCGAGACTTCCTGTGGCACGTCTCTGACATTCGCAAGGGTCATGTCTGCCGGCGTTGCCTCTGTGGAGTTCGGTTAACGCCTCCTTTTGTCCGCAGCGGCACGCTCCGCGGCCTTCGGAACTTTTGTACCCCTTTGTCGACATCTCCCGTCGACGGCCGCCCTCAACATCGCCGCCTCTTCTCGCTGTCTTTTTTTCCGCCTCTTCCCTTGCGCTTCCTGGGAATTCTCGCCTCTTCCGCTGACGCTTCCTGGGATTTCTCGCCCTCCCGTTGCGGCTGTCCCTCTCCGCGCCATGAATCCTCCTTCCCCTCCTCCTTCGCCTCCTCACCGCTGCCATCACCGTCGCCTGCGTCCAGTGACGAGACGTTTTTCTCCTATTACTGCACCTCGCTGCCCACACCCACCGACACGGAGAGTGGCGATGAGGTGAGCTGTCGGTGGCGATGAGTATCCGCAGCACAAGGATCATGATGACGGCGGATGAGTGAGATGAACGGCCCGGGACTCATTTTATAGTTGGGAGAAATCCCATTGTCCAGTTGTTAGAGCACCGTGCTAGAAAGTCGGTGAGCTGTGTTCGATCCCAGGCCATGGATAAACGCTTCTGCGGCCGTCTGGAACGCTCTTCCTTCCAACATTAGAAAGCCACTTGGGCTACGCACTTTTAAATCTAGTTTGAAAACTCATTTCTTTAGAACTGCTTTCTGTGTTTAGTTTGTTGTCCTTTCCGCGCATGTCCGATAAGCACGGTTGGCTACGTATGATGCGAAAGAAGTTCAACATACACACCATTAGTGGCGTTTGATATCTGAATCGGTCCTGGGTGTAGCCACATCTCGTGAACGATACGGCACGGAGGGGGGGGGGGCATCATCCAGTCGTGAATTGTCACAGCGACCGTCATAAATCAAATCCTCGATGAGTCTCGGGGCCCTTCCTTTTTTTCCGTTATGCATTCAATGTCGGCGGCCTCGCCATTGGCGGCGATGGCATCGTCGCTCGGTCGGTGCTGCTTCACCGCTCTACGGAGGGCCTGAGATTTTGGAGCAGGCATCTCCGAGGCGACGGCCGTGACGTCGCGATTGACATCCGACCAAATCGATCAAAGGGTTTGGCCTAATTCTTGGGATACGAATCAGTGCTGAAAAGAGCCGCCTCGGGGTCCCGGCCTAGCTGCCCGTGGGTGACGCCCCCCCGGGCAGAGCCGCTCTCCGAGCCACGTGGTCTCATCGCGGCCTACGGGTGATACCTCTCGTGAAGATTATCCAGTACGAATGAAACTTTTAAGTTGAAGTTGCGTTGCTATTCGGGACTCAGGCTAAAGACAGCTGCCCACATTGCTCAAAACTTGGACACTCAAACCAGCACTAAACATTTTTTCAAATATGCAATCACTTTTTTGCATATTTGCAAACAAAGTACCTCCGAGGACAAACGCACGCTGGGTAACGTTACTGAATCCAAGCGTAGGCATGGCTTTTCTTCCTTGCTTTGTTTTCTCCGACCCGTTCTCTATCGCCGTCGCCTTCCGACCTGCGCCCTAACCGCACCTCTCCCCGCTCTCCTCCCTCCATCCCTCATCCCCTGGGTCCTCCTCCTCCCACCTCCGAACCCCCCCTCCCCCCACCCCCCTGGACCTTTGAACCCTCTGGCCCGCGACAGAAGAACCAGCCTGCGAGCGCGTCGCCCACGCAAACGGCGTCGAACGCCGGGAGCCCCATGCCGCCTGGCGCACGCGACTGCGTCGAGTACCTCAAGCTCGACCTGCCCGGGTCGCCCGCTTCTACCAAGCAGGTGCCAGCGTCGCACCGCCTGCACCACCTGCACCACCTGCACCACCTGCACCACCTGTGCCCTTTGCACCACCTACACCACCTGCACCACCTGTGCCCTTTGCACCACCTACACCACCTACACCACCTGTGCCCTTTGCACCACCTACACCACCTGCATCACCTGTGCCCTTTGCACCACCTACACCACCTGCACCACCTGTGTCCTTTGCACCACCTACACCACCTGCACCACCTGTGCCCTTTGCACCACCTACACCACCTGCACCACCTGTGCCCTTTGCACCACCTACACCACCTACACCACCTACAATAGACTATGAAAGTCGGCACGACACACGAGGGGGTGGGTGACCAGCACCACACCAGGTACTCATTTGAGGCTGAGTCGACCTAGGGGAGGCCCAGGACCGGTTCAAATAATCGTTACTGGTGTTGGACATTTGCACCATCTGCACCACCTGCACTACCTCCACCACCTGTGCCACTTGCACCACCTGCGCCACCCCTGCGCCAACTGTACCACCTGCACTGGCTCTTGTCACCGATAGCCACGACCCCGTTAACTCCAACCGGCGTGTGCGGAGGCCCTCATCCAGCAGTGGATTGACAAAGAGCTGCATACGTGCACACGTACAGACTCGCGTTATTAGCAGCTGATTCAATAGGATAATAACAGAAGCAAGCCCGTCCTTCCTGGACATCAGACTCTCCATCCAAGGTGATAAACTAACTCCATCGGTGTCGTAATAACTCACAGATCTACAAACCCGTTGGGGTTTTATGTTTGTTATTAATTGTGCTTGTGCACCACTACCAACGCAGCAGCGTCGCCAAACACCTTGTTCCATCATCAGATTAAGCCGAGACACTCGCTGCTACATTTGTCTTTGTGAATATATGCATACGTGAGTATGCCCGTACATATATATGTATGCACCTGCGTATGTGTTCACATTTGGTCACATGCGTGTGAGCATATCCTTGCAACCGTGCCGGCCTTAATATTTGCTCGGACTCGCCCCAACACTCTATGTGGGCTACACAGAGGGAGATTGCTAACCACGTGCAGCCTTCTTCACACTCGTCCTCTCTTGTCCACCCTTGTCCACCCTTGTCCACCCTTGTCCACCAACTGCGAGCAGAAGTCGGCCGCCCCGAGCCCGGCGCTCACGGAGGAGAAGGTGGACTACGTGACGGTGGACAAGGAGAAGACGCTGGCGCTGCAGAACACCAAGGAGGCGTGGCAGGACAAGCGGCAGATATCGGAGAACGACGTGCCGTCCAAGGGCACCAAGTGACGCCGCCTCGCCTCCCACCACCCCCTCGGCCCCGCGGCAACTCGGACTCGAGAGCTAAAAACTGAAAAACAAAACGCGCTGCGGAATGCGAGAAGCACTGCTGCCCAGGATGGACGAACGCGCAGCGGCAGTTTAGTTTTTTTTTATCTTATCTCACCGGCGCCAGCGGTAGAGTTTCTATCATCCTCCTGGCTTGCGGTGAGACGTGAGCGAGCGAGCGAGGCCGTGCGACGATCACCGAAACCGGACGAGCGGTGCGGTGCAGCGGCGATGACGGCGGCGTTCATGGCTGAGCCCACACCGGTGCACGGCCCGCTGCTTGGATGAGAGGCGGCGCTGCTGGGCGCTGCCACGCCTGCCTGCCGGTGGTATCTCCGTCTGTCCGCTGGGCGCCAGCGAAGAACCACGTCGATGCAGATCGCGAGCAGAGCACGCCACCCACCCGCCCCTCCCATCGGCGTGGGATTTAACTTTCAAATATTGTTTCGTACTTTATACATCAACTGTCGATTTTTTTTAACTCTACACAGTTTCTACTTGAGCAACTGCTACAATGTCGCCGTCTAGTTTTTATTTTATTTTGTACTCCCCCCCCCACCCCCACCCCGAGATGTTAATTTTATTGCCCGTGGTGAACGTTGTGGTGCAAACCGGTAACAATGCAAAAGGGAACACCCTTCACAGCTGATTTTTTAAATACAGCCTGTATACAGTCTATATATATACAGTATATAAACATGGACGATGACTTCTGCGACGGTCGGCGGCGAAGCCATCGCCGGCCGTACTCGTCGCCATGGCTACCATCACCGATGAACTCGTCGTCCGCTCCGCCCGGTGGAAAGGAGGTCGCCCGATCACTACGGCAACACCTCGCGAACTCGCAAAACAATCTGAGGGCCGGCGTCCACCCTCCGTCAGGGCGGAATTGCCGGTCAAGATGAACTGGTGGACTTGACTGATCAGGGTGAACTAATGGAATGTCCATGGAAGATGGACCAGCTTGATCAGGGTGGACTAATGGAATGTCCATGGAAGTTGGCCCGGCTTGATCAGGGTGGACTAATGGAATGTCCATGGAAGTTGGCCCGGCTTGATCAGAGTGGACTAATGGAATGTCCATGGAAGTTGGACCAGCTTGATGAGGGTGGACTAATGGAATGTCCATGGAAGATGGACCGACTTGATCAGGGTGGACTAATGGAATGTTCATGGAAGATGGACCGGCTTGATCAGGATGGACTAATGGAACATGTCTGGTCAGGGTGGTCTATTGGACTGGCTGATCAGGTTGACTTTGGTGGGCTAATGGACTCGCAGGTGAATGTGGACTCATGGATTTGCTGATTAGGGTGGACTAAACCATCTGTTCAGGGGTGGAATTTCTCGTCGAGGTCGAGCGCCTGGTCATGTTGGACCTTTAGTTGAATCGTGGTAGACACAGCGGTCAGGGCGAAGATCTCCTCCCAAGGTGAACTCGCCACTCCCACGATGGACCTGCTCCAGCGACGATGAACCGAGTGGACGAGTCCAGTGCTGGACTCGTCCGAGGGTGGACTCGCGGATTTTCCGGTTGAAGTGGAGCTGTTCTCATAGGTCAGGGTGGACGTTCCGGATAGAGCCATGGGGCTGTGCCGGGAACGGCAAGTGACGGGGAGCTTCGTGCCGTGGCCGGTCGTCGCAACATCACCCGTCTGCCTTCTTAACCCCCCCCCCCCGCCGCGCGCGCCTGCCCAAAGACGCAAAAAAATACTCGTGAAATGACAAAAAAATTGAACAGATTTGTAGAAAAAATATATAAGAATAATGCTGTGGTTTTACATAACGATTTCAAATCATGTTTTGTAAGAAAGACGCCTTGGTTCACGTTTGCGTTTGTCGTTGTCCATCATTTTGTCCGGTTTGTTTTGTTTTACAGAAAACAGGAGGGAGTTGTTGTTGTTGTAAAAATGGTTGAAGTTGCAGTTTGTCTCATTTTAGTATTTGCGCGAGCACTTGATGGCGGGGGGGATGCTCGGATTTTGAGGAGGGGCTGTCATGCCTCCCCCCCTCCCAACCTCTCCCCCCCTCTTCCTGCCACGTCGTCGCCCTCTCACTGTGCCCCCCCCCCCAAACAAAACCACCAACTCCATTGTAGCCCACGTGAACCCTGACCCCTGGGGTAAGGTCGCCAAACCCAGCGGTAAATTTGTCAACAGTCGCAACAAAGGAGAGGGCATCCCGGGCCGAATGATGTCGGCAGAAAGGAAATGCCAAATAGAGACAAGACGTCGCCTCTCCCCCTGTCGCGTACCGCTGCTGCTGCTGCTGCGTGGCTGGGTCTCGCCGCTTGTCGTTCGGCGACGATGTCCGACGTTTCGCTCCAACGTGCCGGGAGCGTCTTCGGGATCGGAGAAGCTTTCCGGCGTGGCGAGTGACACGCCGGATGATCACACCGAACGGTGCCACGATACAGCTCGAAACACATCGGGGGGGGGGGGGGGGGGGGGGGGTGATGTATTAGCTGAATTACGTTCGGCTTCTCCGATAGCTGATTGGACAGTGGTGATGATGACGATGATGGCCGGAGTGGAATTTCATTAATTTATCTCTAATGTACGCGTGCGACCCTTTTGTCAACTCCGCCGCTGGACGAGGACCTCCGCGTGCCGTGCGTATCGATGGGGGGAGAAGGTTGGGAGGGGGGGGGCGCTTGTTTCACCATACTTCACCACGCCTGCCAGTGCGGACTGGCCGGCGGCGCCCACCCCCGGGTTAAGCGGTCGGTGGCGGTGCCCTCGGTTGAGATTGTGCGCTGCTGCTGCTGCCTTCGACTACGATGGGTTTATTTCTATTTATTCTCGACCGCGCGCCGTCGACGTCGCTAGGAACGGGGAGGTGCGCGGTATTCGCGAGGTCAGGTGACCTCAGCCCCTTGGGGGGGGGGGGGGGTGGTCCAGAGAAGCTATGCAACAGCCCCTCGTGATGAGGCGCTCACAGTTGGTCCTTGAGAAATTAAAATTGAGCAAAAACAATAATATTAAAAACAGCGGCACCAACAGCAACAATAATAAATAATAAACATCCAAGACCATTCTCAGCCACGCTCTCGTGCACCCTGTGCACGGTGTGTGTGTGTGTTCTTTTTCCGCCTGTCCCGAGTCTGTATGTATGTGTGTGTGCACACGAGTCTCGGTGTATGTGGCTGTGTGTGATCTGAATGTAGCCGCGCGTGTGTATGTGTACAGCGATGATGGGGAGCTGTAGTGGAGCGGTTTCGCTACGCTGCGCTACGAACCCGGCGTCCCGAGTTCGATTCCCGCTCACGGCCAACACCAATGACGATTATCTGACCCGGTCCTGGGCCTCCCCTGGGTCGACTCGGCCTCAAATGAGTACCTGGTGCGGTGTTTAAACATGCCACTGGGGTGCCAAAGGCGGTCGGGTGTGGTGCTGGCCACCCACAACATCGTGTGCTGTTCCGGTCTTCATAGGTGCTCGCTAGCTAACAACACTTGCCCAAACAGTATTTTCAGGCTATACGGGGGATCTTTGTATTTTGTTGTGTATATTGTACAGAGATTGGTGGTGCAGTGGTTACTGCACTGCACCAACGCCCCCCAACCCCGGATGATCCAACCGGCGATGAGCGAATTATACCCAGGGCCCGGGTCTCAAATGCACACGCGAAATAAATAAATGATTCGGGCATTTAAAGTTGTTTCCAGGCACGCATTTTTAATTAAAAAAAATATTCAATTAAGTATACGTTGGAGTCGGGTCACAACCTGGCGGTTGCAAAGGCACGCAACTCTGTTGTGATACAAAAAATAGAGCTTTATCACCCACAAACAATGATGATGGATGAAGCTGGTGGACAAGGGAGAAGTAGGGAATCAGGAATTCATTTCTCACTGAAATATATTCAGGGTCACTGCCAGACAAGACTGGTGGTGGTGGTGGTGACAGGCACATGATGACGCGTAACCACGGCCGAAACGAAAGGTAATCATGAATGTGGTGTGCCGGGTAACGGAATTACGTTAACTAACTCGGCCGAAATTAAACTAAAATAAACTTTTTTTATTTTACCAGGTAAGGCCCTCTGAGCTATATAGCCCTTTATCAGAAGCGACCTCGATATCACAAATCCAACGAAATGGCTTACGTGTAAATGTATCGCAGCCAAATACTCTAAACGCATGTTTCTAAATGTGGAGGGAAACATCGGAGGGACCCGGAGAAAAATCCACGCAAACACGGGGAGAGAGAGAGACACGCAAACTCGCAAATATACAGCAGGTGTCAGGGTCAGGAGCAAACCCACGAACTCGTGTATACCAGGCGAGGGAGTGAACACCTCGCCAACCGTGGGGCTCCCACGGTGAAATTTAATGTAATGTTAACAGTAATAATTGGTATGTTATTGTTACTTTGTTACAATTTTAAGCCACCCTCATTGCGTATTGACAATGGAACGCATCGCGTAACAGGTTGCTACGTCAACTCGGTGTAGTAGACGAGAGGAGACGCCAGGGGGCCTCGAGAGAGAGCAGAGTGCGGCGCACGGAACGGCACGGCCTGGCACGGCACGGCAAGGGCTGGCCCGGCACGGCACGGGAAGGGCTGGCACGGCACGGCCCGGCACGGCCCAGCACGGCCCGGCCTGGCACGGCACGGAGCGGCACGGCACCGACAGAAAAGTTTTGAGTGTCTTTGCGGGCACGTGAATTCAGATTTGCGACATTCAAATTGAGACGTGTGTGTGTTTTACGTATGTTAATGTAGATATATATTTATTTGTTATTCCTTTATTCATTAATAGATTGGGGGATTATAAGTGACGGCCAAGCGCCCTGCTGTCAATTCTTGGCAATAATCTCTCGTGAAGAAGAGAAGCATAATCATAATAACAATAAACTATGCTCATTATTCTGGGTGATGATGTACTTAATACTTCGCGGTCTGTGACATTCACGTTCAAAGTGTCTGTTTTCGTGCAATTATAACATTAACTACGCATTAAGTTAGAAACCAGCAAACCGTACTAAATCTGCGTGGTGAAGTATGGTCAGGCAACCCGCCCATGGGCCACACTGTGTGGGGTAGGCCTTCATCTAGCAGTGGATCGACAAATAACTGCAATTTTTTTTATGTTTGTTAATCACAGATGCTTAAAAACGTATTAAAATTAACGCGTTTGTTGGTGAACTTATGACAGCGCTCCCTCTGGGAGACCCTGTCATCGGCAGTACAGAAAACATACAGTACATTGTACAGTACTCTACTGCACTGTATTATATTCTCACTTCTATGCTCCCCGCCTTCACCACCACTGACCATCGTGGTGAAGTATGGTCAAATAAACCCCCTCGGCTACAGCACCGCGTAGCCATGGAGACGCTCATCGGCATCAACTCAACACCCAACTCATCAACCTGACACCCAACTCATCAACTTGACACTCAACTCATCAACCTGACACCCAACTCATCAACCTGATACTCAACTCATCAACTTGACACCCAACTCATCAACTTGACACCCAACTCATCAACTTGACACCCAACTCATCAACCTGGCACTCAACTCATCAACTTGACACTCAACTCATCAACTTGACACCCAACTCATCAACCTGACACTCAACTCATCAACCTGACACCCAACTCATCAACCTGACACCCAACTCATCAACTTGACACCCAACTCATCAACTTGACACCCAACTCATCAACTTGACACTCAACTCATCAACTTGACACCCAACTCATCAACTTGACACCCAACTCATCAACCTGACGCCCAACTCATCAACTTGACATCCAACTCATCAACCTGACACCCAACTCATCAACTTGACACCAAACTCATCAACCTGACACCCAACTCATCAACTTGACACTCAACTCATCAACTTGACACTCAACTCATCAACTTGACACCCAACTCATCAATTTGACACCCAAGTCATCAACTTGACACCCAACTCATCAACCTGACACCCAACTCATCAACCTGACACTCAACTCATAAACCTGACACCCAACTCATCAACTTGACACCCAACTCATCAACCTGACACCCAACTCATCAACTTGACACACAACTCATCAACCTGACACCCAACTCATCAACTTGACACCAAACTCATCAACCTGACACCCAACTCATCAACTTGACACTCAACTCATCAACTTGACACCAAACTCATCAACTTGACACCCAACTCATCAACATGACACCCAACTCATCAACCTGACACTCAACTCATCAACTTGACACCCAACTCATCAACCTGACACCCAACTCATCAACCTCACACTCAACTCATCAACCTGAAACCCAACTCATCAACTTGACACTCAACTCATCAACTTGACACCCAACTCATCAACTTGACACCCAACTCATCAACTTGACACCAAACTCATCAACTTGACACCCAACTCATCAACTTGACACTCAACTCATCAACCTGACACTCAACTCATCAACTTGACACTCAACTCATCAACCTGACACCCAAGTCATCAACTTGACACCCAACTCATCAACTTGACACCAAACTCATCAACTTGACACCCAACTCATCAACCTGACACCCAACTCATCAACTTGACACTCAACTCATCAACTTGACACCAAACTCATCAACTTGACACCCAACTCATCAACATGACAACCAACTCATCAACCTGACACTCAACTCATCAACTTGACACCCAACTCATCAACCTGACACCCAACTCATCAACCTCACACTCAACTCATCAACCTGACACCCAACTCATCAACTTGACACTCAACTCATCAACTTGACACCCAACTCATCAACTTGACACCCAACTCATCAACTTGACACCCAACTCATCAACTTGACACCAAACTCATCAACTTGACACCCAACTCATCAACTTGACACTCAACTCATCAACCTGACACTCAACTCATCAACTTGACACCCAACTCATCAACTTGACACCCAACTCATCAACTTGACACCCAACTCATCAACTTGACACTCAACTCATCAACCTGACACCCAACTCATCAACTTGACACCCAACTCATCAACCTGACACCGAACTCATCAACTTGACACCAAACTCATCAACCTGACACCCAACTCATCAACTTGACACTCAACTCATCAACTTGACACCAAACTCATCAACTTGACACCCAACTCATCAACATGACAACCAACTCATCAACCTGACACTCAACTCATCAACTTGACACCCAACTCATCAACCTGACACCCAACTCATCAACCTCACACTCAACTCATCAACCTGACACCCAACTCATCAACTTGACACTCAACTCATCAACTTGACACCCAACTCATCAACTTGACACCCAACTCATCAACTTGACACCCAACTCATCAACTTGACACCCAACTCATCAACTTGACACTCAACTCATCAACCTGACACTCAACTCATCAACTTGACACCCAACTCATCAACTTGACACCCAACTCATCAACTTGACACCCAACTCATCAACTTGACACCCAACTCATCAACCTGACACCCAACTCATCAACTTGACACCCAACTCATCAACCTGACACCCAACTCATCAACTTGACACCAAACTCATCAACCTGACACCCAACTCATCAACTTGACACTCAACTCATCAACTTGACACCAAACTCATCAACTTGACACCCAACTCATCAACATGACAACCAACTCATCAACCTGACACTCAACTCATCAACTTGACACCCAACTCATCAACCTGACACCCAACTCATCAACCTCACACTCAACTCATCAACCTGACACCCAACTCATCAACTTGACACTCAACTCATCAACTTGACACCCAACTCATCAACTTGACACCCAACTCATCAACTTGACACCAAACTCATCAACTTGACACCCAACTCATCAACTTGACACTCAACTCATCAACCTGACACTCAACTCATCAACTTGACACCCAACTCATCAACTTGACACCCAACTCATCAACTTGACACCCAACTCATCAACTTGACACTCAACTCATCAACCTGACACTCAACTCATCAACTTGACACTCAACTCATCAACTTGACACTCAACTCATCAACTTGACA